AACATCTATTTTGGTGTGTGGCTACATCTAGGCATAAGAAAGATTCTTCTAAGTAATTGTAATGCTACATCAAAATTCAAGTTGGCTGCTACCAAATTGTCTGTCCATGTTGCTGCCTCCAGTCATAAGAAATGTCACTATCAAAAATTGGGTTTTCAAGTCAAGAGGGCCACCACCATATATCCATATTACGGTAAATAATATATCTAAACTGGCTGCCCTAATCATTTGAGGAAACTACGCTTTTTAGTTTTTACATTGCTTGAAAGTATATTTCCCCAAAATATTGGGGTGGCCAAAGATAAATTTATGGTTGTCAAGGCCACCATTGGCCACCCCCTGGCTCCACCACTGCACCTGTGGTGATAAAAGCACTCCCTCCACTCCTCAGGACACATCACTCTGCGCTGCCTCGGATTGGAAAAACAAACTACTCCCTCTGTTCTTCTTCACTGTGTAACTCCTACACACGTAACAGTTTTCAGTCAGGTCATCTGGACAGTTTCTTTCTGTTTTTTTTTTTTGTTTTTTTTTGTGCTGAAACATTTCACCTTCCATCCAGAAGGCTTCATCAGTCAAGGAAACACACAACACAAAACTGATTCTTCCCCCAAACAGCTTACTCCAAAGTGGAACAAACCAGTTATGTTGGTGCTAAGATGGTCTCTTTGGCACATCCCCTCCTCCGGTGCCGGCCCTCTTCCTCGTCGACAGTCATGGCAAACTGGTTCAAAACCAACAAAGTCCATGCTCAATAATCCAGGTATGCAATCTAACAATTCTCAGTCAGGTCATCTGGATGGAAGGTGAAATGTTTCAGCACACAAAAAAAGAAACTGTCCAGATGACCTGACTGAAAATTGTGAAAATTATTTAGCAAACTAAATATTTAGCTCCACACTAAATATTTAGTTTACTAACTAAATTTTTAGATCCAAGATAAATGTTTAGTTTACAAACTAAATATTTAATTTGCAAGTTAAATATTTATTTAGGGAACTAAATATTTAGGTGTAACTTAAACATTTAATTTCCAAGCTAAATATTTATTTTCAAAAGTAAACATTTAATTTCCAAACTAAATATTTATTGTACAAGCTAAATATAAATAGCTAAATAGCAAGACTAAACATTTAATTTCTAAACTAAACATTTAATTCCTAAACTAAATATTTAATTTGCTAACAAAAATTTTAGCTCAGACCTAAATATTTATTTTCCAAGCTAAACATTTAATGTCCAAAATAACTATTTAATTTGTTAACTAAATATTTAACTTGCTAGTTAAATATTTAGTTTGTAAAATAAACATTTGCTGGGACATAAACATTTAGTTTGTAAACTAAATATTTAGTGTAGAACTAAATGTTTAGCTTGCAATTTAAGTGTTTAGTTTGTAAATTAAATATTTAGCTTATGAATTAAATATTTAGTTAGGAACTATGACATTCATAAATGTATTAATAACGTGGTGAAAATATGACTTTGAAAAAAACCTGTTTTTTTATGAAAAGCTAAATAAACCAAATCTTTGCGGTTAATTTTGACTGTGTAACTTTACAAACGGCACTCCATACTGAGACAACGATTTATAAATGTGTTTTCTTTCCATCATGTTTCCGGACTGCATGAATGTTCAGTGTGAGGTGGGGAGAAAAAGAAGGATGACAAAATGAGGAAACATTTAGACACTGAGGGATGGATGGGAAGAAAATGGTGAATAAATAAATAAATAAAAAACAGGATATAAAAAATAGGGAGGTGAAGGCATGAAAATTAAAAGAAAAATGGATTAAATGGAGAATGATGGGGCGGAGAGAAAACAGAAAGATGAATGGGATGCAGGCTAAAAGAGAGGGAATTGATGGTTTGTGGAATGATGGCTGAGTTAGGAGTGAAGAGTACCACTGTGAAGTGTAATCATCTTCCTGTCACTCCTCCACCTCCATGTCACCTCGCTGCCTTTCCCCCACTCAGCACTCCTGTCTGCACGACGATAATCTGTTTATGATGCTTCAGAGCCAACAGCTGAGTCAAACAGCACGGACGGGCCAGTTACCATGGTGTGTGTGTGTGTTGGGGGGGGGGGGGTGACCTCCAGAGGAAGAGCCTGGGTGTTAAGTTTTGAGATTTTCAGCTTAAAATAAACTGAACAAAATGACTTAAAAAAGAGGAAGACGTTGTCTCCTGTTTTTTATTTTCCTTCTTTAAAGACACCATGGAGCCTAGTGATTATTCAGTTTATTACAGAGGTTCTGCACAAACGTCCAGCCCAGATTTCATGAGACTTTGTAGAAAATTTGACACAAGAGCCACTTTATCAAGGACTGGGATGACTTTAGAAAAGTTTTAAAACAAAATATTGAGCTGAGCTACACAGTGGTGTGGTTGGTCAGTGATGTGGCCTTGGAGCAACAAGGTTGTGGGTTTGAAACCCATCCAGGTTCTGTTTGCATGTTGTCCCTGTGCATGTGTCTATTCTACATTCAACTCCAATAATGCTCAGTCAGGTCATCTGGACAATTTATTTTTTGTAGAGACGTTTCGCCCTCTATCCGGAGGGCTTCATTAGTCCGAGTAGTTCCAAGTAAAATGTTTCCCACTAAGCAGTACACTCCTTAAGTGGACCAACCAGTTTGCTGGAGACAAGATGGTTTCTGGGGGGCTGTCCTGTTCCCCATCGACTCCTCCCAGGCAGGCAGCCACAGCCAAAGTGGTTCACGGCAACAAAGTTCAGCAACTCATGTTGTGTGTATTTTTTTGTTTTCTCACAACTGTTCAGCATGAAATCTGCAGGAACCTGTTAAAGTGTGTGTGTGTGTGTGTGTGTGTATGTGTGTGTGCATGCGTGCGTGCGTGCGTGCGTGCGTGTGTGTCTGTGTGTGTGTGTGTGTCATGAAGTGCTGCTGATGAAAATATACAGATAAATACAACAAATATTAATTAATCTGAGCAGGACTTAAATCAGGTTAAAGTTTAAAACCATAAAATGGTAAAAGGCATGAATAAGCCTTTTAAACTCTGTCAGAAAGATTACTTTTAGAGTCAACATCAGTGTTTGAATTTGTTGAAAACAGCTGTTTTAAGAGAAATGCTAATGTTAGCATGCTAATCCCATCTCCCTAACATGCTTTCTGTTTGTTTTAGATCTCAGGTCATTAGATCTGATGAAACAAGAAATTGTTCTAATGATCAAAGTTTTTTTTTTTTTTTTTTTTTTACTGGCACCATTACCTCAGTTGTGTCAAGGCTGACATCCATCCATTCATCCATCCATCCATCCATCCATCCATCCATTTTGTTCCGCTTATCCGGGGTCGGGTCGCGGGGGTAGCAGCTTAAATAGGGAGGTCCAGACTTCCCTCTCCCCAGTCACTTGGGCCAGCTCCTCCGGGGGAATCCCGAGGTGCTCCCAGGCCAGCCGAGAAACATAGTCCCTCCAGCGTGTCCTGGGTCTTCCTCTGGGTCTCCTCCTGGTGGGACGTGTCTGGAACACCTCACCAGGGAGGCGTCCAGGAGGCATCCTAACCAGATGTCCGAGCCACCTCAACTGGCTCCTCTCGACGTGGAGAAGCAGCAGCTCTACTCTGAGTCCCTCCCGGATGACCTAGCTTCTCACCCTATCTCTAAGGAAGAGCCAAGACACCCTGCGGAGAAAACTCATTTTGGCCGCTTGTATCCGAGATCTCGTTCTTTCGGTCACAACCCAAAGCTCATGACCATAGATGAGGGTAGGACCTCCTCCCCGACCTGGAGAGGGCACTCTACTTCAAACTTCAAAACAGCCGAATTGATCCTTTATGCCAAAAGTCGAGCTCACAGCTTCTCCAAGATTATTCCCACCTTCATGTATGCTGCTATAGAGTCCACAGTCCTGATAACAGCTGCTCCAGCTCTCTGATGGAATTGCACATAATTCAGTCTGAGCGCTGTCAAGCTTCGACCCATCCACACAAATTTACAATCCAGAATTCACCAGCCAAACTGCAAAAACACCAGTTGTCATCATGAATCCAATTTGTTTCTGTCAAGGAAAGAGGGTCCTCCTTACCCTGACTCCTGTCGGGAGAAGTTGATCAATTTTGTTGAGAGATCAGCTGATGTTTCGAATTAGGAGGTATGCAGAAAATAAAGAGGCTCCTTAAGGGTTCACAGGACGAAAAGGGGGGCACAGAGAGAAAAAAAAAAGTGGAATTGGTCTCTAGCTACAAGTACTTGGGGTACACTTGAATATCAACCTCAGTTGGGGGCAACAACACCACCAGCCTGATCAAGAAAACACATCAGAGACTCTACTTCCTCAGGCGGCTGAGACGAGCTGGTCTGGGAAGCTCAGTCCTCACCTCCTTCTACAGGTGTGCAGTGGAGAGCATCCTGTGCTCCAGCATCAACGTGTGGCATGGAGGCTGCACAGCTGCAGAAAGAAAAGCTCTGCAGAGAGTGGTGAAGGCTGCACAGAAGTCTGTTGGAGTCAGTCTCCCCACCATCACATACATCTACACCTGCATCATGAAGGACCCCACTCATCCAGCACAAACTTTTTGCCCCGCTCCACTCAGACAGGAGGTTGAGGAGCATTAAGTGCAGAACCACTAGACTGAGGAACAGCTTCTACCCTGAGGCTGTTAGCCTCATTTTTATCTAACCAGGGTAATCACTGTGAAAAATTACATCATGCCACTGATTTATTTCACACTGCTGTGTTCATTCGTGCTCATCTGCTCACACAGACTCATGTTCGTGCTGCTGTTTGGCATATTGTTTTTGTACTATTAGTGCTTAGTGCATTTTTAGTTAACATTTTTCTTAGTTCATATCTTAGATCTTATTACTGTTTTTCTTTTACATTTAATACTTTTGTTGGATGTAACTGGGACCCTGTGTACCCAATTTCGTTCCACCACATGTACCACATGCGGTGCGTATGACAAATAAAGAATCTCTGACTCTGAATCCGAGGTTTAACTATCCGACAGATCCTCCTCTTCAGAAAGGCTGACATGAGGGGAGTAAACCCTCCTGTAAGGTCTGTGGAATGGGTCCACAAGAACCAGTAGATGAGGCATGACTCACCAACTTCTGGGCAGCCTTCCTAATAACTCACTGAGCTGCTGGTCTGCTCTGATGGCAAACAGAGAGAATGGGTGAAATGTTTTCAGCCTCAGTATTACAAGTGAGACTTGATGCATCACGTTTGCTGTGATCTAGGAGGATTTCTCTGAACTGTTGTTTGTAGTTTACCTAGTGTAACAATCTTGAACTGACCTGGTGTCTGTTGTTTCACTGTTGCAGGAATAAGACAGGCATCCTGGGCTGGAGGAGTGAGAAGACGGAGATTGTGAATGGATATGAAGCCAAGGTAAAATGCCAGCTGCTCAGAAGAAAACAACAAATCTGTCCAAGCTCATATGGTGATGTAAATTCTTAGTTATCCAAGGTCAATCCTAAACATTTTTATTTATCTATTTATTTTTAAAGCCAGCTGGACTTCTTTTCAGTGATCATCCACGGAGCTTTCTAAGTTCAAACTACAAAAGTGGAGATTAAAGTTTTTAAATCTGCTGTGAGGCCTTCTCCAAACAGAAACATGTTTCCAACACCCTTTTTATTTTTGCTGTTGCAAAAGATCTGTAAACACTGCACAGTTTCAATAAATGTCTTAAATATGCACCAAAGTTCATGCTCAATAATCCAGGTAAGAATCCAACAATGTCCAGTCTGGTCATCTGGACGATTTCTTCTTTTTGCTGAGACATTTCGTTCTTCATCCGAAGGACTTCTTCAATCTGAGGAACCATCAACAAACTGAGTCCCACCACAAACAGCACACTCCCATAGTGGAAACAGTTTGCTGAATATTTTGTCTTTTATATGGACTCAAAGAAAATTATACCAAACTCTGTAGTAACTATGCCAGGCCTGTAGGTGGTGCTGTAACAGACCCATGAAAATATATCATAAACAGGAAACAAGGTGTGGAGCATGTCCGTATAACTTAAAACACTGGGTGTGAAATGTAAAAACTAGAAGAACAGGCGGACACCCTCATGTCATGAGTTAGACTAGGGGTCCAGCTATAACATCATTTTTAAATGCTTTCTTTTGTTTTATTTAAGGCACTTTAAACACGAATCCTTGACCAATTTAAGCAATTTATTACAAGCTCGTAAAAGTCCAGATGGTCTCGAAACAAAGGAAACAACAAACCTTGAACTGGTTTGTTGCCGTTTACTGCCTGGACCGATTGAGACCAGTACCAGAAACCTCCCTGCACCCATTGTGTCCAAAGGACCCACAAGACATTGTTAAGACTGAGGACTCGTGGGTCAGTGTTACCCAAGGGCATCTGGAAGGTATTTGGGTTATACAGTAAAATGCAGATTTTTCTGTGGTTCTTTTACGCCTTCAAGCTGCACTCTGGGTGTTTCACTTTCCAGTTAGAGCTCACAACCAGCAGCCGCTTCAATTATTTACTTTGAGTTTTATTTTAAGCCCACTGGTGATGAACTTTTGTGTTCTGGTGTGAACTGTGAAATGTTGCTTTGCAAACTCATATTTGGTTGTGTAATAAAACACAAAATACACAGTCAAACACTTCGGAGTGGAGTTTGGACACTTTTGATAAGTGGCAACAAAAGGAATGCAAAAAAGAACATGTTTTTGCTGTTATAGGTATTTTTTTGTTAATTAAAAGTAAAAATATCTCCCCTCAGGTGTATGCAGCGTCCAACGTTGAGCTGATCACCAGGACCAGAACAGATCATCTAACGGATCAGAACAAGAACAAGACAAAAGGTAACCGTGTCACCACGTCTGATGAAGGAGCCAATGAGCTCTTCAGCGTTCTAAGATCCCTCAAAGGTCTCGCGTGACAGGTCATGTAATGTTCACTCTGTGGTTCTGTCTCATTCTCTGGTTGGGAATATAAATCACACAGGATTAGCGGGCTCCCCTCACTGGACTGTGGTTGTCAAAAGATCAAGCTTCAGACAGTCTCCAGAACAATGAGATCACAGATCTGGTCTGGCAGGTCAGAATCTCCGTCTAAGAATCTGCAGGAGGAAAGAACTCCTGGCAGCAACACACTGACCCCTGAACCAGAAACTATACTTCCCTTTATGCTGTTTTGTTAACTTTATATGTTTTATAGCTTTTTGACCAATCTTATGACAGTGAGAGGAAAAGTCTCTGATGAATGAAGCGCTATGACGAACAGATCTGACTTAGATGATAAAGATGTAAAGGAACTCTTGGTAAAACTTCAGGAGGGATGAATAACTGTGAATACAAAGCTATACATATAGCTTGCTATGTATGGCAGCTATGTAAACACCCGGGGAGCAGTTAGGGATTGGGTGTCTTGCTCATGAACAAAACAACATGTAGGCATGGTGGGGAGCTGAGCCTGTAGCAAGGATTTGAACCTGCAACTTTCTGGTCCCCAGTCAGCTGCCCTATCTCTGCACCACAGCAACCCCCAAAACACTGCTGATACGTGTTCTAATCCAAGGCACTTTATCCACGACTTTAGTACTTTTATGTACTAATTTATAAATTTTTGGTCATGGATTGGACTCAGGCCCTGTGATGGACTTGCGACCTGTCCAGGGTGTACCCCGCCCCTCGCACAGTGATTGCTGGACATGGGCACCAGCGACCACCGTGACCCAAAATGGAATAAACGGGTAAAGATAATGGATAGAAGAATGGATGGATTGGACTCAAACCCGCGGCTCAAGGGGGTTAACCTGACATGTTTCACCTGAGCTATCCAGTCGGACAAGGAGTTCATTTGTGTCTCATTAAAAAAAACTGTTTTGTAATTTCTATTAAGGGTTAAAGTTCATTGTAAGTTAAAGTCAACTCGCTGTTGTTATGCTTCTGAGCCATCATGCAAAGCAGTGACAAGCCATAACCATCAGTACATGAAAGTTTAAGTTGCCACGATGGCTCGATGGTGGAATAGTTTTAGATCAGGAGACGTCCGACGTATTTTAGACGTGGCGTGCCACGCTGCTTCGGCAGCTTTGGCATTAATAACAAAATGACAGTGCTGCAATGATTGATAAATCTGAGCCATATAATATTGGGACCTCTTCCAAGTCCAGCAATCCTTTTGTCATCAGTCTTCAAGTGTTAAGGATCTTAGAGAAGTTCAGAATCTTCTGGATGAAGACCCAAACCTGGATGAAACCCAGACTGACCTGCTGCAGTCAATAATGGTTGGGTCACCCAGTTCTAGTAATGTCCGGTTCTCATTGTTGTCTCTAATCAGTCACATGTTAGTTCCACATGTTGCCAACCTATCTCAAAGAGTTCTCATATTTCTCACACTTTCTGGCTCAAGAAAACTGAACTGAGACCAGTATCAGATGCTTGCAGTGACTTTGTTAAATGAGAGATCAGTTGCTGAAACTTTTCACACATGAACTGTGACACAGTGTGAGGCCTAGTTACATTTTGGAAAGATCCTTGTAAATTGACAGTTGCAGCGCAGTGAGAAAAAGGTTTTAGCATCTCAGTGACCAATCAGATTTCAGGAGGTCAGTGACCCCCACCCGCCCACCACCCAGTCCTTTCTTCCTCCAGACTTTTGTTTTGTGAGACGCATAACCAGAAATGTTGCAAAAACAAAAACAGGAAATCAGAAATCAAATTATCATGATGATGTTTTTGGAAACAAGTTGTGGACGTTTTTGTCCTGATTTGATTTATTTTTGATTGTTAGAATTAAAATAAAAATAATAATAATAATAACAACAACAACAACAACAACAACAACAACAATAATAATAATAATAATAATAATAATAATAATAATAACAATAACAATAATAATAATAACAATAATAATGATGATGATTATAATAATAATAATAATAATAATAATAATAATAATAATAATAACAACAATAACAATAATAATAATAATAATAATAATAATAATAACAATAATAATGATAATAATAACAACAATAATAATAATAATAATAATAATAATAATAATAATAATAATAATAA